ACGGCTAGTGACGTCAGACTTAACGACCGGATAGCAGGTTGGTGAGTGTCGGTGCATTTAAGAAAATATCTTCCTGTTCAGAGCCTGTAGCAGTCTACAGGAGTGCTCCTATATACCAAACTTGCCCACAACAGGTTTCAATACGGCCCACTGGATGGCCTGATAGTAGAGAAGTCATCAATAATTTAAAACACATCAACGTGGTGATGCCTGCCAGCATTACTACACATGAGTGGAAATGTATAGAAAGTTAAATATATTTCTAGATCTCAAGACTCATGAATTTTTCTTTAGTGCAAAAGCATTTTGTATGTGAGGGTTTTGTCCCTTTACACAGCTGCTTTGATGTGTAATGCACATGTAATGAGCCTCACAGGCCTGGAGACCAGCCAGCATCCCCTGTCAACCTCTAGTCCTTAAAGAAAAATGTGTATTTCCGGTTAGCAAGTGGTTGCTGGAAGTTGCTGTTCAAGAAGAGGTATACAGTCCTACACAAGAAACATCTTTATGATTGTTTTGTTGCTAGCAGATTGCTGTTTCCACCTGCAGTTTGCAAGTTGCAATCAAGTTTCCCTACTCCTCGAGGAGCAGTGTTTGTAGGCAGGTAGCTGACTTCCAACTATAGGTGGCCACAGCTAGATCCTAGCTGTATTTTAGCCGTGCGATTACTAGCAACCGAAGCAACCATAAAGAGATTTTTAATGCAGAAACTTTAGCAACCACTTCTTAACCACTTGTTAACAATGTTTCCCTCGAAAATAGAGGTTGTCAGGAGATCACCGACCTGTCTCTAGGCCGGTGTGACTGAGAGCCAAAGAAACCAATTTCAGAATGTCATCGTTCTTTTTTACTAAATGGGGAGGAGGTAAGGTTTGGACGATTAAGGGCTGGTTGTGCATTTGTGTGCTGTGGGTTGTGGGGGTGTTATAGGTTTTACTGCAGTGGTTTTATTGTCCCAGCTCACTTGAGATATACAAGTGGCATTAACAAGTGATATAACAAGTGATATACAAAGTTCTTGTAGATGGTTGACTTAAACCAAGCCAGCAAGTATTAAATAAGTTTATTGTACATATTATATACTAGGAGCATACCTAAAACAGAAACAAATTAACATTCAAAAATACATTCATGTTATCTCTAAAATAAGAAGAAAATATTTACATTTGAGATTTATTTTAATGTTAATGCTAGTTGCTTCAAAACATTTTGTTTTTAAGATAATGTAATTGTTTTCTTGCTATATTTGGTATTCTAACTGTGTAGCTCACCTGAGCAGGTACATGGAGAGGATGGTGATGGAAAGGAGAAAAATGACAGCATAGAGGAAGAGAGTGATGATCACCCCCGCTGCACCTGATTTGTCAGCTTGATAGAAGTGCCAATAAAGCTTGGCAGCATCCCCCACTGGTGTGTCAGGGCTGTAGGAGAGGCGCTAAGGAGACAAGGATTAAAAATAAATAATAAGTAGTTTCCTATAACTGTGGATGCAGAAAATCTCTTTTTCTAAATGAAGATCACAAGACAGTTGATGGATTTTCTTTCACATATTTCAAAAGTCTAAATATAACAACGTTTTCTCTCCCTTTTTACGTTTAAGTTGCTGCCTACATTAAACTGCAGCAAGAAATGTCCAATCCATTTCAGTCACCTTACACATCTAACCCGCTGCCAAAAAAGACACCCATCCAACCTTGCACATTTTGCTTCTCACCCTCTCTGCACTCTTTTTTTTTGTAATCTAAAGTCACTTTGCCAAGATAAAGTGAACTCCTATTTAAAGTGCACAAGTGTCCAAGTTATTTTTAAGTGACTTACCCCGAGGATGGCGTCCACTGCAAAGACTGCCAGGGGGTCGAGGACTGTCCACACTCCCTGAGCCATGATAAACTTTGACGTGAAGGAAGGGAGTGAGCCAAATATCTGTTGACAGCCCCATCTGATCAGAACCAGCAGGAACGTTATTGCGTTCAAGGTCAGGGGACCCACCACCACCATTGCCAGCTCCTCCCGGGTGTGGAGTAAAGAACTCTGGTACACGAGATCCACCGTGTGTGCGTGGAAGTGGAATCTGGTATGAGAGGAAAGAGTCAATATATGTGTACCATATTTGTGTTTGTGATGCTTTGCAGCTCAAGGGCAGCTGTTTCCATCAACTCCATATACTGTGTTATAGTATTTGTGGCTAATTCACTCAAATGACTTTGATGGCATTATGACTGACTGTTGTTAAGGAAACCTTTAACCCTATTACTATCATAAAAGACACTAAAGATGCAAAGGACACTGAAAGTAAGAGTATTACCACCTTTGCCGATACATGGCAGAGCTTATCCAAACCTCCTGTTGTACGTTAAACTCCCCATTTACAGCAAGCCTCATGAGTTCCTTAATCTTCCCATCAGTCAGGAGGAGGTAGAGACAGTGGTGGGAGAGGAGGGGTCCAGTTTTCTCTCATTAATTTCCATCTGATTTGCTCCAAGAGTCAAGCATCTCTCAGATTCTGTCCATTAATCTGACAGTAGAGGTCCATTGGTGTTTCATCTGAAGCAAATCTCTCAAGAGATTCAAGCCCCAAAAAGTCATTTCAGAGAACAGAGATTACCTCTCTGGATGACCAGTAAAGACATGTTATTTTTTACATTTCCAGACAAGATTATAAGTAAAAATCTTAAGATCTCTCTCAAATGCTTCCTATTATTTTGCCACAAAATAAGAGACATTTTGTGCTATAATTAAAGTACATTTAGTTAAGTACAACTTTGACATACTTTTTCTCTCCTTGAAGTATGTGATTTATGCTACACTCTACTTCTGATCGCTCTTGTATTTAACAGATTACATTGAAAAACATATTTAATAAGCACAAAAATATTATATTGCTTGTGCCTACAGTATATGTTTACTTATAATTCAGGATATTCTGAACACAAGATGTTTAGTACCTTAGACCAGTGTATTACTGCTTTGTAACTTGAGTGAGTAAAAGAAAAGAAGAGAAGAAATGAAGCACTCATAGATGACTGTAGAAGCACCAAAGGCCAGGGACTTTTGCTCCTGGGGACTCTTTGCAGTCCGATGATGTCCCGGGATGGATTATGGGAAGGGAGAATGCAAAAACAAACAGACACAGACGTAGAAAGAAAGAAAAAGGAACGAGTGTGAGATATAAAGGTGAAGCGAGGTATGCCTGTCATCATGCTAACCGCTCTGACTGTCACTTAGTCTCTCTCTCCCTCTCTCTCAATGGGCACCACCAGCTCTGACCATTGCATGGAGAGAGAAATGCTTGGAGGGAGAGCAGCAGATTTGGACATGTGGAAGTTGTCATCCAGCGTTGACCCCCTCTGTTTTCACATTTTTGTTTTCTATCCGCCCCCTCAGTCCATTCTTTTTTCCTTTTTTTTTTCCACTCAGCCACATTTTTTTTCCTTCCTGCGCTCTCCTCCATCACTTTCCATGATGTTTGCGCCCCTGAGTTATTGTAATAAAAACCTGGTTGTATGCATGTTTGCAGCCAGCCCTTTTATTGTGATGAATTAAATCAGCACCATATGCTATTCCAATGTGATTTAACAGTTCTGTGGCATCTTATTGCTGTTTATTATCAATGCTGCGTACCAAATAATAACAATAAATTCCTTCCAAATAATGTAGCCTTTTGGGACTTAAAGCTGTGTGGTGAGCAAACTCCCCCAGCAATGGTTTGTTAATATTGAGAAAGTCTTGTTAAAATGTTAATGGGGGGATTCCAAACAGATGATCTGGGTGTATCAAGCCTGCATTTGCCAACACACACACCAAGACACACACAGCACATCCTCATCCTCTCAGCTTGTTGTCCTCTCCACATCGTATTTTCCCATAACTGTACACCGCATGTGTGTGAGCCTACATACTCATGTTATGTGTGGCCATGCTAATAAATTTACAGTATGGTAATATGCTACTATTATCTGGTATGTGTCAGTCCTCCGTTTTTATTAATGGATTTATGTCAGCAGCAATGTGTGCGCTTGAAAAGTTTTGCGCGTCTGTGTGTGTATTCATGCGATCCTCTTCCATGCATGTGTGTGTGCGCAGGGCAATATCAAAGGAAGCAAACTCACTTGTTGACAGGAACTGCTATGGCCTGGAGGTAGAGCCACTGGCTGCAGTAATGCAGGTAGAGCCTCAGAAACCACATCAAAGCCAGCAGCAGTATAATGAGGCCGAGCTGCTGAACGGAGCCATGCCAGCTACTATGCAGTTGTTGTTGTTGCCGCAGCAACGGCAGGCCCAGCTCAGATGGCAGCATGGAGAGAGCCAGACGCGCTCGGTCAGACAGACACGGAGGACATGAGCCAGGTCCAGTCAGTTGTGATCTGTTTTCATAAGAGGAGGATCATACACACTGTACATGACTATCTGAAGTTCTCTTCACCATTTCTTTTTTTTTAGACACTAATACTATTACTTAAGTATGTGATTATGTGAGTTCATTACTCCGATTTCCTCCAATGAAAGCATTGTAATGTCTTTTTTTTTCTCATTAATTTTACATCACACTGGATAAGAACGTTCATGCACAGGTGACCACATAAAGCTGAAACAGAACAAAGGTGTTGACTTTGTTCAGTCGATTTGGAGGTTGTGATAATCACTTTGAATAACGATGCAAATCCTTCCTCCTCTTTCTGTTGCACACTATTCAGAAGCTTATTTCCATCATGACAGCCATGCAGTAAACATTAAAGGTAGGGAAATGTAGTATTCAAACTGGCACACACACGCATACAATTGCCAACATATACACAAGTGCTCTCTCTTTTTTTTCCCCCTCACTAACACACCAAAGACACACAAACAGATAGGAATCCCTTTCAGCGGTGCTCAGCTTCCCTCAGCACCTCTGCCTCCTATGTGCCGCCCTTTGTCAGGCCTGCTCAACTATTCCCTTTCATAAGGAGTGCACAGATGGAGCAGTGGAGGCAGGAGCAAAGGAAAGGAAAGGAAAGGAAATACCCTAACATAAAAACCTGACATTTCACATTTGTGTATAGGTAAATTAGGTGTGCATTTACAACATTCGTTGACTTTTATTCAATATAGTTTGCACATGTCAACAAGCAGTGATAGTGATGACTCCTAGCATTCGCCTGATAGTAATTAGAACAAGACTGAAAGTAGGTGTTTACAGTAGAGCTATGGCGAGGATCACACAATGTGACTTAAGGCCTATGCCTGTGGACATCCCCATGTCTCACCACTGTGTCCCAGAGCACAGTTGGAATTCACTTTGTAGTGTGTATCTAGGGAAAATGGTACATTGCCTAAAGACGAAAAACCGAATCAATTGTATTGCTCTCTCACCCCCATTACCAAATGTGGGCTAGACTTGCATCAAAATGTACAAGTGCATTGTGTTCCCTGCTTCTACTAATACGAAAATATGGAGCCTCACGTAGTTTTGTTCGAAGCCAGAGATAATTTTGGCCGTCGCTGTGAGGTGTGAAGTGTGAAATTATCTAAAGTTGAATCAAGTTTCCTCAGTGGATGCTATTTAGAGCAGTGGTATATTTTGCTGTACATGTGGGAAAACTTGGAATTTATTGAAAAATAAAAAGGTGCTCAGTCAAGAGTTTGGGCTGATAAATGTTCAAGCTTGGCTGAAATAACATTTATCCTGTTGGGCTAAATGTGTCACGAAAGTCTGTTATCACTCAGCTCTCTGTTTGAGATCTTGAACTGAAGTATACTCCACTGCGAATAAACTGCGTGTTTCCTGTGTGAAACCACTGGTTGCTCATGCACACGCAGTAAATATATATATTTATTCAGCCAAAGTCTTTGTTTACTACCACTGAAAAAGATCCAATTTAGTGCTTTTATACAAGATTTGGAGTTAAAACGCAGAGAGAAAGATGATGTCTTAGCAAACGTATCTCATGCTTCTCCACAAAAGCACTTCCAGCTTTATCGCAACTTTACTGTGTTGTACAAAAAATGCTCTCCGAATCCCTGTAAACGCAGTGTGGCGCAGACACAGGCGAGATGCTACCCTGTCAACTGGCATCGCGCAGAAACAGCAAACACAATCTGACGTCCATCTTTCATGTAATGAAGATATTGATGATGCATGAAAGAGGAATATTTTTAGACGTCTTCACGTAGCGGTCCCTTCTAAAGGAAACCGGTAACATGATGTGAAATCTGTTATCCCGACTGAATTGATTTCATTATGGCACCTCCAATTACAAAAGTATAATACAGAAAAATAGGGGAAGGCAGCGGGCGGACGTGTGGGATTTTCATCTCGCAGGGATGAAGGATGTTTCATTTCAATATCACAGCCTGTCCTCTGAATGGCTGATAGTATGTGGCACAGTGGCCAAGTGATGAAACCAACCATTTCAACAGGCATGCATGGGACATAATACTATATTTTAATTGTAGTTTTAATGCTTTTGTGAAATCTGGGCCAGAAGCTGTTTGCTCATTATCTTAGTTTTGATATGTTTGTTCTTCATACCCGTGTCATCAAAGCATATTGCAAAAGGGCTCATCATCCACTCCAAACCTTTCCTGAGTGTGCCAAGGCCTGTAAATCAGATTTAACTAGCGTGTTTCTGTCAGAAGCTTCTCCTGGACTGGTTTTCCCAGGCTGGTGTCCCTTAATGTTGTACGCTATGACAACAAACAGACGCTACGCTCTTAAAAATAGCACAAAGCGAAAAGCAAGTAGTGACATGCATTATACCTTGAAGACGGCACGGGTAATACGAGATGGAAGGGTGGATGGGGGAGGGAGTACAGTGGTGTGTTCCATTTAAAATAGCACACTTATGGTGTGAAGGCTCCAGGGCTGTAGGGAGTAAAGGTAACCCGCAGATTCCCTCTGCGTAGCCCCGATGGCTTAAACCCTCCAGTGTCAGACCACTTAAAGTCTTGGACTTATCCCTTTATTCGGAGGATTAAGATATTTTCTGTCACTTTCTTATTTAGGCCACCGGCATTGTTTTTAAATTCCCACACTTCTTTTCCCACCTAGTCGATGAACGGTTTGCTGTTGGGGAAACAGAGAAAGCAAAAAGCAAAAAAAAAAAAAAAAAAACCCACTGTGAAAATAGACTTAAGAGATTGACAGATAATGTAATTGTTTTCTTAGTGGCCCAGATGCATAAGTGTTGTGGTGATTATGGAAGTGTGATTATCTCTGTCAAGAGATAGGACTCAAGATACCACATCTTTGTTTATATTTCATTTTTGAGGAACGTTGATAATGAATTTGTTTTGAATTAGGAGAGTATCTGTCATCTGTCCTACGTGTGTTACACAATCAGGTCTAAGGCGTTGCTAGGGCTTGGAACGTGGTGAAAGGTTTTTGGTAATCTGAAAGAAACTTATAGGTCATCATGTCAGCCTTGTCACCTGCGTTTGCAGTACCCATTTGATACATCAGGAGCTTAGAGGCATTGCTGGCTAATGACGGTTGCAGACACAGGTAGTGGCAAAAAGCGTTTAACTGGAATAAAACAAAGAACGCTGTCTATCAGCCAAGAAAAGAGAGAGCAAGTAACTCAGAGAACAATTAGTGAGGGGATAACTGCATTTAAAAGTGGTGAGAGCGTCCAGAATAAAGCTTGTGCTTTAAGTGGTCTTTCACAAATTTGATTGGCATTGTGTGCATCAGCATGCTGTCAGTGTAGATAGTTATGATGGGGCATGTAGAGGGGAAGACCTAAGCTACTAGAGTCCACAAAGCTGAATCAAAACATACCACAGGCATCATATCCAAAGCTGCGAGACTACTAAACACCTATATCACTTTAGTCAGTCAGTCAGCCCAGCAACAACAGCATCCAGCATCACTGTCTTAAAATACAACAAAACAAACACAATATGATAAACAAAATGAATAATAAAAGTAATAAATCCTCTTTTGCTTTAGATGTTAAACTAAATGGCCTTTTTGTTTCAATGTTTCATACTTGTGTAATGTTAACCAGCCATTGCTCACTCCGGGCATGAGATATCTATCATGTTGTCAGAACATTGTTACATTTTACAAGTTGTTGGCACCCAAAAGTAGTTGGGAGCGCTTTGGCTTCTTTAGACTAACTAATTTAGCCTGGCATGCCACCTGCATAATCACTGTTACACACGAAGTAGACACACCAAGGCACTCCCTGGCCTCCCACAGCTGGATACTCCACAAAAACGGGTCCCCAACAGATTATTACTTGTTTCAATTGAATCGCTGCCAAAGCCATCACTGCTCCAGCTTCTTATGTCTTGCTTTTCATTTGACAC